GATATTAGTTTTCTAGGACAGTGGTTCTCAATCTTTTTAGGACCGCGACCCAAATTTTTTTCCAAAAATCTATCGCGACCCCCATAGTTTTACATTTACAGAATCAAAAAAGTAATTTTAAAAAACAAATTTTTTTTTACTACTTTATAATAATAATAATAATTTTAATAATATACTTATAATAATAATATAATACTTAATTAATAATTAGGCGTATGTGATGAATGTGCTTGTTTCCTGCTATTGTTGATGACAGCACCAACATCGACGTCAATTTTAGATACTTTCAAACGCAAGGAACGCAATAATTGGAGCTTTTTTCTGTGTTTGTTTTAGATGCCCACCATTGCTGAAGGTTAGGTTACTTTATACTTCTGTTATAGTTCAATACAATTTAAAAAAACATAAATTTCTTACAATCTGTATAATTAAAAAAATTTCTCACGACCCCTAAAAATTGACTCGCGACCCACTGTTTGAGAAACGCTGCTCTAGGGTGCTTACACACTCATTCACTTAGTGTTCTGATGTAATCGATTTATTGATAAATTCTCGTCATTTGCTCATAACATAGTAGGTACGTATACTATACAATATTGAGATAAGTTATTTTTTAGATTATTATATACTGTGCAGACGTATATTCACCCAGCATTTTGTGTAACGTCAAATTGCATAATATAATACGTACTTAACAATAGTAAAATATCGTTTCCTTATTGTTAGTCATAAGTCGCGACGTCGCGTGTATCATACGCGATTAAGTACTACTATTGTCTCTAAAAAGATTTGTATTTTCGGTTGAGATAGTCTGCAGTAATTGAGAAGATAAACAAGGTAATTCTTTTGTCAACAATCATTCTCATTGTTTCGCCAAGTTAAAATTTTGTCGGAGAACGTAAATTCGAGCTTATATTTTTTTATTTATTTTTTATTTTTAAATATATGTTGTGTTTGTCGATCTGTCTGATTTAAATTGATCTTTAGACTTAAAATTTCAGACTTCGGACGAGCCTGCATAGAGCATCCTCGATATTCATAAGCACGATTCACGCTTTTGTCGCGCCACGACGATGATTATTTTATACTATTGTTCGGCGATGTACTGATGTACACAGAAATGTACAACGCGGAACGTGTCGAAAACGATACCTACCGGCTTGCGGTGACAACGCGATAACGCTTTTAATCACATTAATGTTATCTATTAACGTGACAATGTAATATGATGCGTTATATTACAAAGCCAACGAAACGGCAACGAACAGTTACAGACGTCTCGCGATATTAAGAGAAACACAACTTTTTCAACGCTTGCACGTGTAGATCCAGAGAAATGTCATTGTGCAATTGTGATAGGATTTGAGAAAAAAAATATCGTCTTCGGTACCGTTGGCCCGCCCACACCCCTCCCAGCTGAACAGTGGCTTGGAATGCGCTCGCACTGTATTTGTTCCGAACGAATATTGACTCGTCTGTATCCGTCACATCAAACTGCTCCATTTCTTTTTTTCCACACCAAATGCCATTTCGTATTACTAAACGTGCACGGTTATTATACGACATAATATGTTAATCGTAGGTACCTATGTATTGCTTAGTTTTATTTTTTTTGCCACCACTCATAACTCGTCTGTTACAATTAAACACACATTTTGGTTTTCGACATATTGCGTCAGCCCGCGCTTGTTTTTACGGCGATAAGTCGTACACGAGGTTTGTATGATATATTGTCGTATTTTTTCAACCAAATTCTTATGTTTAATTTGCTTTGTCTGTTAAATATTTGAACAATTTTAAGCGTCGGATTATTTTGCCATATTATCATCACAGACTTGATTTGTTGTGCGGCACAATGTGGGATAAGTAAACGATTAATTTTATTTATCGATAACATTCATTACAACTATGTGATTTTGCTCGGAGGGCATTTCAGTCGTCGATTATCGTGTACACAAACCGTGAACATGTATCTTTGGTAATTAGAAGATACATTATTGTTCGATCGATATTATTATTATTATTATAATTATTATCTTAAAATAATAATATCGTATGCGGGTCTGGTTTAGTGGTGTTGTATTATCAGTTTAGGAGTATCTTTCTTTATTGACTTACAAAGAATTAAGTACGATCATGCGTCCTAACTATTGAATACTGTGTTTGTTCTACTGACTACAGTCTTCACAATCCAATCAGACTATACTGACGTTAGTTAAATATTATATATATTTTTTTCCGATCATCGCTATTTTACATGTCGTAAATCGAAATATTTTGTGTAGTACCAGTAGTACCACGAGCATGAACACCATTCGTTTTCCTGTCACCGGGAGTCAAACACGCGCGTACGCGATGTGCCCAAAAAGAACTCGCGTGAACATAGTGTTCCGGTAAAAAAAGAAGTCGTATAACGTGATATTATTATCATAGAAGGGCGGGTGATTACAATATAATGTCGTGATTTATTAATTTATCGCGACGGCAAATTGCAATAATAACTAGAATAAATCGTCGCCGGGTGCGTTTAGTTGTTGTGCATAGCATCAGGCGTCTATGATATTATCGCATTTCAATAAATATATTGGCTATCGGCTATGGCAAACCGCAATATTCCAATTTTCCGACGCGAAACTCGCCCACGCAGACGAGCGACGGGCGCGTGCGCCTCCCTTACGTCACGGTCGATCCTCTTCGTGCGTAACACAAAATAATATTTTACTATTATATTATCATGATATGCATTATGCACTACTCAGTCCAATCGTTTTCGGGCACTCGACATAATATTATACGACTGCGCGTGCGCACAAGTCCTCAATATTCTCATATAATAGATATTATTATCATCATTACGTATATTACCTCTACTTATACGCGGTGTAATATAATATATTATTTTGTCAGGCGGAGCATATAGAATAATGTTGTCGTATAGTCCATCTCCGTAGACGATGAATACGGTGCGCATTATTCTGAACACGTCCGCCGCTTTACGATTGTAATGAGTTATTTGTTCCCCATCCTCGATCTCTTGTATTTTATATTGTTATTTTAGGTTGTGCACGTATATGCTTTTTTTATTTTTTTATTTTTTTTTTACAATTTTTCTCCTAAACGACACAAAAGAGACAATTTACAAAAAACGGGAACAGGACACACACGCGTGCGCGCTATCGACATGTACACCGTCATCGTATTATATAGTGTTGTATTGATGAAAATTTTCTGAACGGCAGCCAAGTACGACCGAAGTAGTCGGATATAGAGTTTAAAAAAAAAATAATAAAAAAATACATACTCATTCGTTATAGATTGGCTCATTTGTCGAGATTAGTGTGTAATAATTTATTTTAATATATACGTCGCGGCAACCGTGTGTTATATCATCCAATAAATAAATATAATAAGTATATCTTTAATATTATATTAATTATATTATAGTAGTGTACAACTTTCTATAGCGACGTGCAGAAAATCATGAGAGTACTTGAGCATCGAGCAAAATTTGTAGGGCAGTCTCATTATATTTTTAAAATGTTTGCTAATATAATAATAATTCAGTATCAGTATAATATTTTATATTAACCATTGCATTTTATTCATCGACAATTTTAGTAAAGTTTCCAGCCTCAGAATATTTAACTAAAAAGTAGGTATACATAGATGGCAGATTTAAAACAGTTGTTATAGATATAAGTTGATATAGATAAAATAACCAATTATCATGAGACTGCAAAAAAATTGAAGTGTTATTATGAATATTACATTTCTATGTGATTCACATTTTTTATAAAAGATTATAAGTTATTTTTTTTAAATATTGCGAGCATCCACTTTTAAATAATCGATTTACTTGTTTAATGCCATAAAATATTATATTATATATTTTATTAATTTTTAAAAACATAACGAAATATCTACATAAATAATGAACAATATTTCATGACATTCGATAATGGTAGTACCTTGAAATTTTTGATACTTGAAATTAAAAAGGCTCATAAGGTCATTTTTAAATATAGTCTATAGGCATTTTTAGTTTATTTGATATAAAATCACTTTATAGTAAGTATACCATCGATGGACATGCTGTATCGAGTTTATTGTTATACTGAATAGCCTTTTTTTACCGTCTTTAAAATCTGAAGGTCCGATTTTGTGTTTCCGACCCTTTTGTTTGGATTGTGTGGCCAATTTTCGATTGCCACTCAAAAGCCATCCCTCTTTATCATTTTTACATTCATTCACGGCTAATACATACAATTTGAATGTATTATTAATTTTTGTTAACATTTTTCTTTTTCTTTCGTTGCTAATATTATAATTTTAATTTTGGTTTTAAATTTTCAAAATATATTATGTAAAGTAACTTTATCAGATCGTTTAAAATTCATTGTAAGAAGCCGAAAATTCCAATCGAGCACCTAATTAAATAAAAATCTACAACTATAATATTCAATTGTTTTCAGATCTCATGCACCATTCATCGATCTAGTAACACCTAGTATTTTATACGCAGACTATTGATTATATTTTAAGCGAACACTAAATGTCTGAGTTAATCAACATTGTATTTACACCGCAAAATCCAACTCACATTTTTTTCTTCGAGTTACCATTTTTTTAACTTAATGAATTGGCCCAAATTATTTTGTAAAATACAAACATTTCGATTTCGGGCAGCTACACAACAACAACAACTTATACTATAAACAATAATCGTGATTCGTGACGGACGTGCATTAACAATTAGTTCGATAATTAAATAGTGTGCCTATACTAACGTATCATGATATTAGAGGTAAAGCACGAACGTGCTTCTGTTTAAAATTAAAAATAAATAATACAATTCGGCCAATGGTATTTGTTTCGGCTATTATTATATTATATATTATAAACATTATTACATTGATGATAATAATTATTACTATTGTAATGCAACACGTAAACGCATACGATCGTTGTCTATAATATTATTTTATTGTATTTTAAATTACCTGGACTAGTTTGCCAACTAAGACCGCCAATGAACATTTTCCTGGAACAAAAATAAAAATTCTTATTACAAATTTTGAAAGATATTTCGAAAAGCATAATATAATATATATAAACAATATGCACACGACAGCGCATGCGTGCTTAAAACAAAAAAAAAAAAAAACAATGTACATTATTTTAAGTATCACGGGCATATTCGTAGCGAACGGTCTGTATTGTTACAAAGTATATTGACAGGTACCGTTAAGTAAGTATTGAAAAATATTGCACGCATGGTGCTCACATTTCAAACGCTCAGAGTTCAAATAATATAATAGTCTCTATTAGACTTATGTGGTTGTATATTACAGTGAAATAAAGTAAAAGATAATAAACTACCTATGAAATTATTGGTACCTGTTATCGGGATCATCCTTAATAGGGAAAATTGTGTCTCACATTATTTATTTAGATTAGATACCTTGCGTTCGGAATAAAAAATAAAGGATTTTGTTTTAAAAATTATATTATTTCAAATATTAAATATAATTTTATTTTTCTCAAAGAAATAACGTAGACATTTCTTAGAAATAAAGAGGCGATACACTTAGGTATAATAAGTAATAAATAAATTAATATTGTGCTCAAGATTATCTTAAATAATTATCTATTTATTCATGTAACATTAGAATAAATACGATTTGACGAACCAAGTAATACTTTCAGAAAACCTTTTAAAGAATTTTTGTTCCGTGCAATATTTATAACCTTTTATTGATTTATTTCTCAAAGTTAATATGTAGATATACTTATTTTGGTGTAATTCAAATTCTAATCATTTTCTGAAGTTTTAAATTGGTAGTGTCAAAAAAAAAATAAATAAATAAAATGGTCTTCTTAAAGACACATGTTAAGTTGTAAAAAGGCTTTGAAATGATTATTTTCATATTGGGATTTGTAATCCAAAAGCCACGATCCATCACATCTTAATTAAATCTCGACTGTAAATGTCATTCTAGAATATTACTGTATAATAACATTTCATTTTACTCCGTCTACATAAAATTATACTCTCATCAGATGTAACCAGCATTTTCATAATAGCGAGCTACTATATAGTATTTATGTCTCGTTTTTTAAATGCAAATGACTGGAACATTTTGTAGTAACTATACATTTAAACTCAAAATAATTAAAATATTTAAGTATGCGTTGTAATTTTTTTTTTTTCTATACCCAAAAACATATTTTTATTTACTCGCCAGAGCGTTAACTGTTTCACATGTATTCTAAAGAACATTTTTGAGTTATTTCAGAAGTTTTAGACAATTGGATTAGTCACGTTATATAGCCGGTCTGTGTGTCGAGCTTCATTAGTTTTCCAAAAGTAATTATTTGTAGTGTATGAGTGTATTTTTCCTAGTGTATTTGGGAAAATGCCAAACACACTGCATACGTATTGTTTATTGTGTGCGTGTATTTAAGAGTCAATAAATATTATTTTTATTTTTTTTTTTATAATCACACATCAAAATAATCAGTGATTTGACAGAAAATATGTGAAAATATTTTGTTAGAAATATGAAAGAAATTAACGTTTTATTTATACTGGTGGCTCGCAGGTAAACTGAAACATTTCTCTTCATTTCGTTAACTATTTTCATCTTCTGATATTTTGGATATCGTCCAACAATTAGTGTTGAAACTGCGCGCGCACTATTAAGTGTACCACTAAAAGACTGTACACCAACTTCATATGAGCATGTACGTTATTTACGATACCGTGGAATACGCTATAGAAAATGGTAAAGGGAGCCAAAAACGTTAGTTCGTCGAATGGCATCAACAAATGTAATTATTATTTTCGAATACTCAACAACTTATTGTATAGCGATTATTTAGTTAAATCAAAACGCGTGCCATTGTTCACACTCAAAAATATAATATTTAATTCCAATCAATTCGAAATATATAATAAAATAGACGCGTTATTGGAGATGACCAAAAAATGTCACGAGTGTGAGATAAAGAAATATTTAAATGCTGACACTTCAAGTTGGGTGTATTTCTATCGTTAAATAATTGTTTTTTCTTCATTATAATACATTATATATACATATATTAATTTAAATATACATAATATTTACTATATAAGCGCAGTGACGTATTCAATCTGAAAATTTTTCATGTATGAGAACAATTTAAAACGCTTAATTGGTCTCGGAGAACGCAATATTTTAATATATTATGTGAATTGAGAGACTAAAGTGAGAGATTAAAGTGATTATGATTGTTATGTCAAGTGTGGGCTGCATATTATCGATTGTTCTCCGCGGAACGACGACAATTATTAGTAAGAGTAGCGGGCTTTGGTCTATAGCCTATTGCAGCTACTGTCATTATTGATATTATTGTTTAGTGATAATATAGCGAAAAAAATCAACACTGAAGCATATAAATATTATACTATCATACCTAGCCCTCAATACAACGTTGAGATTTTCACGTCGCCATATTTGTGTGGGATCGACGAACATCATGAGTAGTATCGTGTCACGAATAACGATGCATGCTTATTATTATGATGTAATATTCAAATACCACGTTGCGGGGTCAGCAATTAAATTTGAGGGCATTGGTTACAAGTATATTATATGAGACTTACCGACTACTTTTTGAGTTTAATAACATACACGGAATCTATCCATCATCACTTTGTGTTTAATGTGCAATGACTTGCTTCTACATTTATTAACTATGTATTAATAAATAATATTATATTATGGAATTGTTAGAAAACTTGCCTGACACCAACTAGCATGATAATATACTAAAGTATTCTTAAATTTAACGATTTTAAACATTTTATTTGGGTTTGTATATTATTAAGTCGAAAGAGGGCGTACTTAGAAACAAAATCCGGAAGAGGGAGGGGGTACAAAATAAAACAAAATATTTAACAATAATAGCTAACGTTAAAAAATGTACACTTTGTAATATACTAGAAGTACACTTTGACGGTTCAGCTTTTAACTCGTGTTAACGTAAAAATGTGTCATTTTAGTGTTAACTAAAAGTTATAATCCAGTTTTCACCTTCGCCTCTTTATAAGTACCCTACTGTAAAGTGTTAGTCAAAAATATTTTTCAACATTCAATTAATTATTGTGTGACTATAGCGTTGATACACCGGTAGTTTAAGGTAGAATTTGTAATGTTGCAGTCATTCAACAGCACAGCAATAGTGTAACAGTAATCGCTGCAGCGTGGCGCAAACAATGATTTCAATCACGTGACCGACAGAGACCGGCCTAAAAACGCGAGCATAAAACAAATAATAATGTGTACGATATAAAAATGGCGATTATTCACGTTATCGATCCGTGCAAAAAGTTTACCTTTTACCATTTCGTGGCGTGGCGGCAGGACGATAAGCGGGATTAATGGAAACCGCCGAGGACGAGTGTAACCGGGCAGCCGTACATAATAATTTATTATATTATTATATAGTCCATAATAGTAATAATGTATGTATGTGTGTGAATGTGTATATTGGTATACTGTTATAGTATAATATACAATTTGATTGCATTGTCAAAAGTTTGTTTTCGGCGGCTTACACAATCCGCGACTTTCTTTACCGAGATCCGTTTTTAGAGAGTATACATCCGTAGCTTTTCTGCGGCCGGCAATTTAAACCCCACTCACCTCCTCTTTCGAGTGTAGCGCAACGATTCCCGCGAGTCCCTCGAATCCACCCTCGATACAATCTCTTGACGCTTTTTTTCTCTTTTTTTTTCATTCCTTTTTTTTTTTTTAAAGATAACCAAACGAAGACATTGTCGAAAATCTATAGTTATACAGACTACGAAAAATAATAATAATAGTAATAATAAAAAAATCGATAAGAACAACAAACAGCTTTTTGAGAAACCTTGTATAGTTTACATGAGATTATTGTTTTGGATGGAGTTATGGACGGGAGAGGGGGCGGGTACGGAATGGAATTTCTATACATTATTGTTTATGGAATATAATATTTTTCAACTGACTTTTCAAACATCGCGACTTGGTTTAAAATATGAACACTGAAACCTGCGCTCGAGGCTTTTAATATTTTACACATATCATAATACCGCAACAATTGTAAGATATTATTTTGAGCTTGGGCAGTTTTTATTTTTCGTTTCGTCACCTGCTACAACTAATTAGTATACCCAATTAAACGCTATTACACATGAAAAATACCTTAGAACGCACCCTCTGATGTCATAATACTGCACAGTGCACTTTTACAGATCATTACTACATTTTTCTAATAAAAATAAAAAATAAAATTTACTACTATCGAATGAAGTTGGTAACCGGAATGCACAATTATTATTATCTCTACTTAACATTGTTTAATTCAAGATAATTTGTACGATATTATTTATGATAATTTAAGGGTATAAAAATAATATTACATGAGAGTGTGTATTACACACATAATGACTGGAATATTATTATAATATACAATTAATAACATGGTATTATCGTAATGTAATTAAGTTAAATATATTATATTAAAAATCGCTGAATACAAATCGTTGTTGGTAAATTTACAGGCACATAATATAGATATACATTATATCGTAAAAAAAAAACGCGATTAACCAGTAAGCTTAAGCTCGTGTGTATTTTTGTCCATAAATTTCTCGGAACAATTCATATCTTAACGCCGCACGGCCGATATGGGTATAGGTTGCAGTTAGCTGGAAACCCGCACGGCCGGCCGCTGTGCCGCACAATACGTATTAATTGATGAATAATTGAAATTATTAATTAATCCACTTAAACGCAACATTTTTTTAAAATCCTTTCTTATTGCACGGTGAAAGTATTAGACTATCCACTATTCCAAATTTCAAGTTCGTAGGTTGAAGAGTTTTCGAGATACAACGATCAGTGAGTGAAGTATTTGGATTTCATATGTATAGATAGATTAACCATATCAACTGTAAGTATTGCAGGCATACGGCGATAATTTAATTTTATATTGATCATAAAAATTATTACTGTA